ACATCATCGAAAAATAAAAGCCAGATATTTTCCTGGACTAGCTGATGAAGGACAACTGGATAAAATAAGAAAAATCATTTGATCTTGCAGTATATCTAAAACTTCAGCATTCTGACAGGTTCTAACGTCCAATCTAATTAGTTCTAAATTAATTTTTAAAAATATTGTAAAAAATGTGACTTAAGGACCAGTATGGTTATTTATGCACCACTGTTTCTACTTACAGATCAGAAACTGAACACCTACAAAACTCGTTAGTTGAAAAAAGGTACAGTGAAGACTTTATTCCACACTTACTGAAACCCGCCCTTGACGTTAAAAATACGTCTAAAAATTAAGAGCAAGTACTTTGCAGTTATCCTCTTAATTCCAAAACTACCTTACAATGCAAAAACAGTAGCTGCTGAATGGTTTTCAGATCTACATCAAAATAAGAAATTTGCAATGGTTGCAAATCAACCGTAAACTTAATGAGACCGAGAGAACAACGGACATCAACATCGTTACAAGATCAATTACGACTGTGACAAGATCCATCTCGGCAAGTTATGAGAAGATTCGATTAGAGTAGTGGTACAAGAACGGCAACAAGCTCTGACGAATGGGATAACCGAGCATTTTGGAATCATCTCATGTTTTTTTCAAAGGACAATCATTTAGTATCACGAATGTCATCTCGGTGAATAAGGAATGAACAAACATTAGGATACTACATCAAAGAGTCGCTACAAGTTGGCTAACAAAAGTCGAGTGTGTAGCGAAGCTAAAGCAGAGGCGGCATTAGTCATATTTATTAGTACACTTACGTGGATAACCTGGTCGGTAAGGCATCGAGTTCATGGTTGAGAAGGATCGCGATGTCAAATGACAAACAAACTATTCACCTTTCATCACAGAGAGGAAGAAAATGCGATGTTATGAGAAAGGAGAGGAAGACTACATCCGACAGTGACTATCGAGCCATACTTTGCCTTCTAAGAATATACAGCACATCAAATCCAAGCCCTGATGATGATTAGACCGTATGGCGTGGTTCAAAAAATGTTAGCAATATTGAACGTTAGCTAGGCAATATTTCTGCCCCTGAAAACCTTCTGTAAGTCATTTCCTGATGTGGAATATCCCGTTTTAGTAACTTTTTGCTTATCATCGAAATGACTACCTGAAGAGCAGAAACTTGCAAAACAATACAAAAATTGCATTTCACTGCGAAGCATAAGTCGAACAGTTAAGAATGATATAAAATAAAAGTGATCCAGGAATCTTTAAAATGAAGGAAAT